AAAACCCACAGTGCGGTTAAGTCCAGACCCAAAAAAGAGGAAGTATTAGAAAGCTAAATTTTCTAGAGGAAAATTTCAGCTTGGGAGGTGATGTAATGGAATAACCTGTCACCCTCATGAGTAACTATACTATAGGTAATAACTACTTATAAGTATCCATAAGGCAATGGACTACAGGAGCCTAGCTGGGATCTGTTGAGTATGACATTCCACTAGTAGCACTCACTACTGGATTGACTTGCGATGACCATACACATAACTGTTATCTTATTTCTTATTGTACTGGTTTTTACAATAAACCTTTACTTATTTTATCCACCATGTTGTTGAAGCAGATATATTCCTATTAGCACGGAATATAACAACTGTAAATATAACAACCAAAATGAACATGCTAGTCTGAATAGTAGAGCATGTAATGGCAGATAGCTGAAGAAAGCTAGAGGCTACAATGACTGAAATGTAAACATTACAACCAAGATGAGCACACTGGTTGGAATAGCAGAGCATATAATGAAAGACATCTGAAGAAGGCTAAGGGTTTCAATAATAAAACATTGTGAACATAAAAACCAAGATGAGCATGCAGGTCTGAATAGCAAAGTACATAAGAAACATTATTCTTCATCTCAAAAATTTTGATTACTAATTTATACTTTTATGAATCAGTACACAGTACAACAAACAAAATTACCAATAACTGAAATGTTATTCAACAAAGCTCACCACAAATCAATTTCATAAAGGAATGCTAAGAAAGTTGGTACAATGGATAATAACAAAGGGTAATTATCCAAAACAAATTATCATTGCTTTGGAGAAACAATTCCTAAAATATTCCAATATAATCAAAGCTTTTATGCAAATTTGAAGTTTAGTAAACAAAAACAGCATTAACAATTTATTTATAAAGAAAATAATTGAAGTGTATCTATATAATTATTAATTGATAATTGTTTCATTACAATTTTAGTCTGTATTTTTTTAAATTTAAAGAAATTCTGTTAGCAAAAATTTTACATGATTTTCTTGTTCAGCTCCTATCCTCAAAAACACACATAACCATTTTAGGATGTTGCAGGTAAATCTATTTAACAAAACCCATTTCTTACGTAAAAAGTTGTAGGAATAAAATATTTTTAAAGGATTTATGGTGAAGAGTGTAAAAAATAAACAAAAATGAAACATTTATGATATTGTAAAAAAGATGTAATTATAAAAATAAATAAATGAAGAAAATAACGAACAAAAGTGAATTGAAATGATGAATTTGTTCCTTTTTTTGTGTTCTGATGGCTGAAATGCACAGCATACAGCAAATGAATTGTTGAGTCTAAACAGGATAAGAGCTCTGTTCAGGGTTTTGGCTTGACTAGTGTTTTATCAAACACATAGTCTCAGGACTATATGTCTGATAAACACTAGTCAAGCCAAAAAATTTCTCTAATAAATTAGACAACTTGAAAACAGTTGATTAACAGGAATAAGACTAATTGACTAAAACAGTGATGCAATCTCATCACATTTTGACAAGTACACATCAGTACTTATTAAACAATCAGACAACCATAATTGAATTATTCTTACTACATTAAATACCATGAGGTTCAACATAATTGCTTATTGAGGCTGTTCTAGCACAATTATAGGTGAGGTTATCTTATTTAAATCATTACCTATTCTGAAGTTTTTTTTAATTTCTTCTTTGTCACCATAAATACCAACATTGTACATGTGTTTATCAATTCCATTTAGTCAACTGTTTTATTCAAACCAATGTCTCCCACCAGAACTATGTGTTCAGTAAAATGGTACTTAAGACTTCTTTTTGTATGATCAGCATTTGCAGTTATCAACCAACTTTTGGAAAATTATGTAAAAAGTGAATTAAAAATGTGCAATGATGTGATTATTAGTACCATGCTATGTAGTTAACCTTTAGCACTCTGTAGGTGACTATTGAGCAAAATGTTAGTCTTGCCAATGCAAACTGAATTTGAATTTCTTGGTTGTGTAGTCATTTCCTTCTATGGCAACACCTAAAACAAACATGACTGAAATTGAGTGCCAGACTACTTCAATTTCAAATATATAGAACTAATATATAAAACACTATATTTTGATGGAATTCTATATACAGTAAAAGAGGAAGCAATATTTATAAATGATGCAGAGTACTAAATGCTAAAATAATATATTTTATAAAAATTAAATAACAATAATCACTTGATAAGTATCACAATAAATTAAAACAGAAAGAATAAACAAAAGATTAAGATTAAAGTTATTCAATACTCTTATGATTGAAAATAAAATTGTTAGTAAAAAATGTTTGGTAGTTGTCATATTCTCTACTTTATGACTGTCATGTTAATTATTTTCCATAGAAGATTGGATATATTATAGAACACTGTTTTATAATATCAAGTAAGTAAAATATAAAATTGATAATTAAAAATAAATCACCTTTTTAATATTTTCTATTTTTTAATTTTATTAATAATTATCTTAAAAAGAGAATATATTTAATTGAACTACCATAAACATAAATTTTCAGTCAATATTGTGATTATTTTGTTAAAATGTATAGAGGACAATTTACAGTATATTTATTCCAAGTGCAAAAAGTGACTCACATACAAGTAAATTTGAATTTTAACATTCATCTTTCCTGACCAATGAATAAGCAGAATGTAATTAACCAATCAGCAAATAGTAAAAATGTAAACATCTTCTTGATCCATTTCCTACAAATATACTTCAGTAATCAGATCTTAGAAACCATGACTTCAATAAAAAAAATATTCAATTTAGAGAATAATCATCGGAAGATATACTAAACGAATTTTACTTTCCTTGAAAAATAATCTTGTCTATTTCTAAAACACAAAATTTTACAAAAACAATCTCTTACAATGCATATCATTGTATGATCTTTGACAGTAATTTAATTCTAATGCATAAATCAGTTTGTTAGATAAAAAAAAAACCTTCTTTACTTTGTTGATCACTTTATAATTCTTCCAAGCCAAATATTTAATAATCGTAAAGAAATGGGCACTGCTGTTTAAGGTCCAATTTAATAGTAACAAAAATTTATTAAAACCTTTCCTTACAGATTAATTTTATTTTTATTGATAAAATTTCTAAACTTGTCAGTCAAGAAAAAAATGTCAATAAAAAGTATGATTTAAAGTTTAAATTTTAAGCTAAACATTTTAATTACCCAATTTTTTTTACATTGACAACATACATCTTTCTTTAAGTGTTAGTGGAATTTGAAGCCACATTCCAGGCACTACAACAAGTGAATGTCGAATTTACTGTCAATCACTTGTGAGACAAGTAAAGTTTAAATGAGTGAAAGTCCAGAACTTTAATTTCAAAAGTCGAGAAATTTTACCACAAACATCAAAGTTCACTTTCAGTCTGTATTTTTTTTCTCTTTAAATTGCCTTGCTAAAGTAGCAAGAGTTTGACACTGGAAGTTATCATAAAAATTAGTAGATTCAAAATACTGAGAATGTAAATTTAAATTAAAAAAAAAAAGAAAAGAAATCAAATATCAATTAACCAGCCGGTATGCAACATTTTAAAAAGAAAGAAAAAAATAGTGTTGCATATTGTTGAATTCCTAAAGAAAAACAATTAAGTAACAACCACATAGGTTGAGGTTTTCGCCAATATTTTAGTAAAAAAAAAAAAATAATAAAGAATATTATGAAGACTGTTTTTTGTGCCTGAATGTTGCCACGTATATGGTCCATATTAAAGAGAGCACATTTGTAAACAAAACACGATACTCTGGTTCCACATAATTGATGTTAATATATTGAAAAACTGTCCAAATTTTCCAATTCATTTTTAAAAGTGTCCAGTAGGTTTCTCGGATCTTTTGACAAGCTTCGATTGATGACCTTCCTTCTAAAATTGATAACATGTAGAAACATAGTAAGAGATAAGGAGGTGCCAATATAAGTCGGTCGAAGAGAACTCTTTTTATGGTCGAGTATTTCCCTGATTTAGCCGTACCTGGAGGTAGAAGTTGGTCCAATAACATATAAAAATGATGAGTTAGAGGTCCATTAAATATTAAACCAAATGTTGTAAATGCGAATGTACTTCTCCAGTTGAAACGTGATCCGTGGTTTGAACTGATAAATTGAGAGATAAGATCACCTAGTCCAGCAATGAGTGCACTTGTCAGGGATTTCGTTAGCACAGGTCTTTCATGTAACAGTTTAGAATAATTATTGACAAGTTTTTTTATCAATCCAATATCCGATGGATTCGGATCTTTATCAGGAGTCTGTTCTGGTTTACTTTGTTGGCACATAATAGTAGAATTCTTACAAAAATGACTTCAATATTTTGGTTTCTCTTTTTAAACACAATTGAAAACTCCACTTATAATAAATATATATTGATTTGAGCGCATGTGACTCAGAAATTAAAAAGAATAAGTTCATCAAAGTAGCAGTAAAAAAAAGGAATTTGGGTTCCTACCTAAATTAACGAAGTTTAAAACAGATTTTTGACTTTACATTGCCGTTACAAATGTGCATATGAACAATTTCTCTTCTTAGATATTTTACTAAAATGTTTAAAATTTTTTAAAGATTGTTATTCTAAGCAAAAACACAATGCTCATATGAAACGATATTGCATATTTTCTACCGGTGGCCGTCACCATGCTTAAACACTCATTTTTATTGCTACTTAAAGCAACCTCGGTTATCGGCCCTTGTTTTGGTTTTCTTCTTTCTAGAGGTCGCTGTTGTAAACATTCATGGTCGTCGATGTTTTCTCTTAGACACGTGTTAGTGAATTGTCTGAGCATTAAAGCAAAATAATGCATATACTAAAGTAAAAATCATTTCTAAGTTTAAGAGATTTCCAAATTATTGAAAGTTTTCTCTTTTTACTTTCGAATTAGAAATACTGCCAAAATAGAACAATACACAGCGAAACAATTCAATATTCAAATAAAGAAGTGAATTATGACAGACAAACATAAACTGAAATACAAAGCGAAAAATTTCGCATGTTTTGCTGAAATATTTCAGAGTAAATGCCCGGGACTTTCAAGATATTATATGTAAGTTATTCCCTTCGATTTGAAATATTTTAAAATCTTAATCGTTATCTTTTTTCCAACATAGTTTTTAGACTTAGTTGTGATAAAAAAAAAGTTGACTTATTGAAATTAAGTGAATTTTTTTCTCTCTACCTGTTACAAAATATTGAAAAGATGCATTGTTTTTCTTTAATCATCATTTCACTCCTTTGTTGCTTTTAAAAAGGATGTTATTTATCTTTATTGATATGTTTTGTAAACTAGCTTTTTTATTTGTTCGAATTTGACTCTAAATTTCTAAAAATTAAATTTTTAAGTAATTAATTACTTATCTACTGCCTACTAAAAACAAAACAAAAAAAAACGCAATGTTTTTTTTTAAACAGGGTAAGCCATAGAAAAAAATCTAACGCTTTGATAATTTAAATAGTAGTATTTGATCTCCCCACCACCACGAAGGCAAAAATGACAGTCTTCTTACCTGAGATAGATTTTCTCTTCCCCAGTGAAGCCAGATTACATCTCTAGCTGTTCAAAGCAGTAGGTTACTCTGTATTGCTTTCTAAAGTATATTATACATTTCTATAGAATTATGAACAATAAAAAGATTAATCTTGGTAAAGGAAGAAATACGAGTACATTAGAATTAAATGAATAAAGAATGTATTTGACTTGAGAGTCATTGTAACATGAAACGGAGACAACGTCTTAGGATAAAAAAGGTAAATTTGAGCCCAGGTGCTGAAAATCTTTTATTTTGGAGAATACATCATAATCTCTCTAGTTTTTATGAAATAGAGCTGGTTTTTTTTATAGTTGTAAACAGAAATAGAATAACAAAATTCCAAGTCTTTTAAAACCACATATTTTCTTACTAACAGGTTCAAAGCACAAAAAATTACTCAAGATTTATCTGGTAAGTAATATTTTCATAATTATTCAACTCTTACCTTCATTGATTACTGGATATTACACAAAAAAAAAAAAAAAAAAACTTCCAACCATTCACATGTGATTGAAACCTCATACGTGAATGAATGAATAATCTTCTTGTTTCTCTCCATAGACACAACTGAATTCCAAGCAGTTTTACTTTTATATTTTACAGAATGTCTTTACTTTTTGGGTATCACAAACCATGATTTGGCAAACTTTTTTTCATGGAGAGCTTTATCATTGTCTTCCTTGCATCACAATAACAACACAAGCTTCACAATTGCAATATAAAAACAGTACACACATTATTTGTACATTTATTTATTAGGCACATTTTTGAACAGATTGCACAAATGTATGAGAAATTAGTTTAATATTTAATACATTTTTTTTTTTGCTATTAATGAGATCTGTGCAGCTGAAAAAAATCTTTCACACATTTTTCATAATCCAGATTCAGTTTACTCATTAATATATACAAAAAACTGCATATTCAACAAATCAGTTAACAACATTGTATGAAGCTTAACAAAAAGAATATCTCCGTTAACAATTAACTGAGATATTTTTTTTGTTAAGCTTCATACAATGTCCGCTCACAAATGTACGTTGAAGCAAAGAATAAGCAATTTGCTGGAAAACTTTTCAAGATAACCAGATTTACTAGTATTAAGTGCTGAATTTAGTTTGGAGTTCTGAAAATACTTCAGACTGTTATTGGAGGTCTATCAACTGTAGTTAAAGATCATCTGCAGTTTGCTATTAAATATAAATGGTTTTCATCTTTGTCCCTCTTTTGAATAGATTACTTAGTAATCATTACTATTTTGCAAAACCTTCAACCAAAAAATACCAAAACATTTTCATAGCTATTTAAAAAAAATAATTTTTGTTGTGCTCTTGTGGGCTATATAGAATTACCAGGTGGGCTGTAGTTTGTCCATTCTTGAGGTAGACCAAATTGATTCTTACTCTGTGCCCTATAATTATGATTTTGTATCAGAATGGACTTAAGTTAACACTAATAAAATTTACTTTACAATATTAAAATGACTATTAAACAACAAGAGTTTAGAATGAACTACTTATATCTGTAAAAAAAAAAAATATTACACAAATATGATTCTATTCTTATCGCCTCCCTGAAATGAAAATCAAATTTGAACTTTCAGCATTGTTTACTAATTTTTAATGTTCAAAAGGTGGATATACTATAAAGAATTCATTGCTTATAATTGTAACAGTATTGTTTATAAGCCACCAAAAACTCATGAAATTATTCCTGAATTGAAGGTCTCCAGTAAATTTTCATTATTCTCTTAAATGTGATAAATTTGTATTTAGAAATGTAGTAATCTAACATTTGACTAATGATTAATTAGTCAATTATTGTTTTTATAACAGGTTCACTAAAATTACATAATCTCTTAAAAACTTTTTCAGATGAACTTTCAAATTCTTGGAGGAGTAATTGGTGTGTTTGGTGTGGAAGTTTATACAGTCCAGAAAATATCAAAGTGAGATTGATTCCCAAAATTCCTCTCTCATCAAATCTCAAAAAATTATTGAAAAAATATTCTACACAACCTCATTCTCTAGGCAAATATCAAAATCATATCATCGGCAGATATTTGCGTAGTAAAAACAAAGTGGTGAGTAAAACCTTTTCAGTCTTGTTTTCTGCAGAATATTTTTATCGAAAGTATCATAGAAAATGTTTCTCTTTCTTTTATAATAATTAGAAAAGTTTCACATTTTTGATATTCATAGCTTCTCCTTTTCCTCCTGGTACAGATTTAAGTATATATCCTAGATTATTCCCCTTGTCAAAGGTAGTGACAAAGTGGCACATTCTGTTTCTCAAGGAATATAACATATAGCAAATCAGCAAAGTGGGTAAGGATCTAGGTCAACCTGCTCTTGATTGATGGTTTTTAGAGTAATTCTTTTGTGGCTTCAATTGAAATTGCATCTGTTTTGTCCAATTCATTTATGACCAATTTGAATATGTCTACATTTCTGAGATGAGGTATTATGTATATTATTTACATTATTTGGACTATTGTCCTCATCTTTGTCGCCATATTTATCACAACGTTTCGGCCGTTGTACCCTCCTGCCTTCTTCAGGTGGTTGGAATGTCGAACTGAACCCTTTATTTCGCTCACTGGGGTAGACTGTTCTAGTTCCACATGCCATGTTTGATGGATGTCAGTTATCAGTTATCTTCTGTTAATTTCCCTCTGAAAGTTCTCCACTGCCTTAATCGGGTATTGAACTCACACTCTTTGGGTCCTGTCACTGGATCTAACCAACACCTTTATCCACTGTGCCATGTTTACAGTATACGGATGTCTTAAACCCATCCTTGAGGACATCTGGGTATGAATTTCTGGGTATTATAAACCTAATGTCTTCAGCAACCATTTTTACCAGTGGGTAATTTAGTGCAATTTTGCTGTTATCAATCCACGTTTTTACCAGAGCTCATATTGCAACTTTGTTGTTATCATTGCTTTTCTCTGGCACTCCTTATTACTGGTTCCCATATTGTATTTATTTCTATGCTTGGTCGGCTCGGGAGATTTTTGTGGCCTAGCATATGTGCCGATTCCTTAAGTTTACGAATTTTCCAATGGTGTTCCTTGTCTATGATCTCAACATGAACCCACAGAGGGCAGTGATCTCCCTTCTCTCTCCATATGTGGTCAGCCACGCCCGATTTTTCTACTTCCCCTCATGTTACAGCTTTCTGGTGTTCTTGAAGCCTTACCTTGAGGGGGTGGACTGTCTCGCCTTTATATTCCTTTCCGCAGCTGCACAGGATAGTGTACACACAGTCTTTAGTCATGTTCTCCTCTATGGGGGGGTCTTACTCAGGAGAGATATCTGCCAAGTGTCGTGAAGCTTTTGAAGGTTGTCCTGATGTTATATGGACTGCAGATCCTTTGTATTTTCTCTGATAACACCTTCACATAAGGCAAGCAGACTGTTTTCTGAGTGTTGTTGTCCTCCTCCTCTTGTACCTGCCTATCCCAGTTTTTCAAAATGCACTGTACCCATAATTAAGTTCAGGTTGTAAAGCTGGGTAGCATCAATCATTTTACTGATATATCACCAAATATGCTTGTTACAAACTGCTGTTCAAATCATTTCTATTCAATTTTGGTAAACAATGTCAATGTAATTTTAGCACATGACCTTTGTCATTGGTGTACTTTCTGAGAAAATCTTTTAGTGCAGGATTTTCCAGTTTCCAAAGATACAAATCCATTGCATAAATCCAATGAAAATTGCAACTATCTAATAGCAGTTTGTAGGAATGGCTTGAGAAGTGATGTTATGACTCATTTGCTTGTTTCGATGTGAGACCAGAATGTTTTCCTAATTGAATATACTGTCACAAATTACTTATTGTAAACCTTTTCACAGATTTTGAAATGTAGCACTGAGCTGTCAGTTTCTGTTTTACTCTTGCAGTTTTAGGCATTGTGATTGAAAATAAACTTCCTAGCACACACACATACGTAAGAATAGATTAACCTAGAGTATAGATTCTTCAATCAATTGTGACCACATATACAATGAGTTTATGGTGTTATGTTAACATCTATTTAGTTTCCCTAATCCAATGCTATGTTGACATGATTGTTTGATATGTGTGCATTAGTTTATTATCAACAGGCACTGGCATGAACTCTTTATTTGAAAAAAAGCTAATCTGTAAAAAGAAAAAAATGTACATTATTGAAGAAAAAACAAAATATTTAAAAATTTCCTAAAAATTCAAAATCTGTCAGTTTTTCAAAGGAAATTATTTTTTGCTTAAGATAAAGTGAAAATAAAAATGATTAAAAGAGATAGATTTAAGCATTTCATTTTTATTTTTGTGCCTATTTCATATAATAAACTATTTAATTGCACTTGTTTTGTTTTATTTTGATTTAAAGAATATGAATATGCTAAAATAAAATTAGGAAAGATTATAGTTATTGAATTGATATTGTTGATTACCTTCACTTTGATTTCTTTCAACTAAAATGTCATTAAAAATTCTAGACATCTCCAAATATCATGCACACATCTTTAAAAACAATGAAAATGATTTAAAAAAATAGGCATAATCAAATTTTATAGTAAAGGGAGATAATTCTTTGAGCTACCGTAGAAATAAGACAAACAGTTGCAAAAAGTGAATATGTTCACACTCCCAAAGAATTTTTCACTTTTTCAAATAGAAAATCTCTTGTAATCAGCAACTGGAAAAATGAAAAGTTTTTCAAAAATTGATATTCATTGTAGAGTTGTTGTTTTTTTCCCTGTCAATGTTGTTTTATTATATAAGCACCACCTCCCCAAAGGAAATAATTTTTGAGTTTTATTAATTTTTTATTTTGTAAAGTTTTGGGACAAATTTTCTTGATATTCATGTTTGATATTGCAGACATTTACTGAATTAACATCTTCAAGGATTTTACTTTATAAAACAACAACAAAAAATTAGTATGTTAAATTTAAGTGTTTCCATTATAATTAAAGAAAATGTAACTGCCCCTCCCCCAAATTTACACAATGATTTCAAATGAAATAACATATTCAACATGAGATTAATGCATAAATGCTGAAATTTTCATTTAAATTTCATAGTTCCCTGATTTTGGAAAAAATGCACATACTTGATTGCCATCTTCGTTAGTCATGCAGTATATTCTCTTGGCTAAATGTATGTTTTCTGGATTTGAGTATTTGTATTTAGGGCATTTGCACTGAAAGGATCTATCAAAGTAATTATGGCATTTTGCCTGAAGATCTGGACTTTAATATTTTTTAACAAATATATAAATTTTTTAGTTAATTGTTGTTGTAGTAGTAGTAGAAACATTAATATTGTTCTCTTATCATACCCCCACTCCCAAAAAACATTGTAGCAAAATGTATATCTTTTATTTTTCAGGCAGTAACATGCCTGTTGTGTAATAAACAGATAAAGATTGAAGGGAGAGAAAGAAAATCAGTTCAATTGTCTAAAACACAATTATCACGATCAAAATCTGTATCATAATAAAATTAATAATTATAAAATATCTGAAAATAATAATTTGACACTGGAAATAATAATTTTTTTTTTTATTATGTAAACATTAATTTTTGGCTCATAGTTTTATAATAAAATTAATAATTAATGAAAGACATATCTGGAAAATAATAATTAATGAAAGACATATCTGGAAAATAATAATTAATGAAAGACATATCTGGAAAATAATAATTAATGAAAGACATATCTGGAAAATAATAATTAATGAAAGACATATCTGGAAAATAATAATTAATGAAAGACATATCTGGAAAATAATAATTAATGAAAGACATATCTGGAAAATAATAATTAATGAAAGACATATCTGGAAAATAATAATTAATGAAAGACATATCTGGAAAATGCATATATTTCAAAATTTATAATTAAGTTACTCATTGTTATCTGTTTGTTTATGTGTTTGAAAAACATTTTTAATATGTGAATAAAAAATATATTTCTTTGTAAATTGATAAATGATAAACATTGTATGTTTCACATTTTTAGAGTGTTGTAAATAAAAAAGTGTTTAATATTTTTGTTGCAAATTCATTTTCATATGTTTGTGGGCACAAAGTTTAAAGATTGCCAATTTTTTTTTTGATAATTATAATGCAAATACAGGGAATAATAAATCTTAAATGTAACCGGTTTGCATATTAATTGCACTGTTGAGTGTCTTCTTTTATTTTCAGTTTCTGAATCTTTGTCTAAAATAAGATTAAAGAAGAAAAAGCAGAAAAAAACCACCACAGTAAAGAACGTCAGCCTGCTAAGTCCTGATTCACCCTTGTTAACCAGGTAAACATCCACTTGATGAAATAATGAACGTCATAATGATTTCATAGGGAAATAAAAAAAATATAGACAAGATGTAATATTTGATGTTTTGGTATGTGTAATTCAAGAGAAAATAATGAAAACCATGTTTTTTTTTTTAGTTGGTTGGTCCTCATAGCCTAATCAACCAAGCTTCTTAAAGAAAGCTGAACTCAAATGTTTTTTTTCTTCCAAGTTCCATTACTTACTGATGATGACTACATAATGATGATCTGAGCATTGTGTGAACAGAGAGAAAGCACAACAAAAATTGATAATTATCAAGATGCATTTATTTGTGTCTTGGATATCACTTTAGGTTACAGAAATTTCTGAATGTTAAAATTTATGTAACATTTTGAAATACATGATGATTGACTTAAAGTGATAAAATTTATTTGGTTCTATCTTGGTTATTTTTCACTTTTTTCTTTAAAATGAAAAACAGAAGTTGGCTTTATACCATAAATTTGAGAAAATTATAATTCCTTTCTCTAAAATTAATCTGGGACCAAAAAAGACTTTTTGAGATGATTCATTTTGACTGGTGGAAGGCTGCAAGATACAACAGCCAAGATGTGATATGATGACACCAGTCAAAATGAAGAAAAAAATTTTATATAATGAAAAGAAAATTTTAAAAAAATCTAATTGTTTATTTTCAGCACTCCTTCCATGAGCAACTTGAGCATGTCATCTAATAACAGCAAATGGGAACCAGATGCAACTCCATTAAGTAGCAAGTATTGCAGGATTACTCCAAGTAGTCGGAAAAAGAATTCAAAGAAATTTGATCATCTGAAGAAATTGTTTGCTAATCAGAAAATGGAGGCAGAAGATTCATTGATAGATTTTTTACAATCTGTTACATGACCTTATTTCTTTTTAGAATATTTTAACAAAGATCAAATTTATATTTTTAATAAACTCTGATTATTTTATTAAATGAATTACTCATATACTTTTTTTCATGTTATATAAAGATGAAGTTAACTGCAAAAAACCTGCATGTAACTAATCAATATTTTATTAACAAATAAGAATTGCAGTTGATTTTGTTAAATGTTCAGAGATGAATGGAATATTATCATTAACAAAATCATTACAATTTTTATTTAATTTTAGATTTTGTGCAGTTATTTATTTTACTTTCCTTCAATGTATGTTATAAACATTGTTTGATGTACGAATAAAATGAAAGAAAAAAAATATTCAATTTAAAAACAAGCACAACTTTGTCTTAATGAAGTTGTCTTTTTATTTTTCATAAAAACTATAGAATTAAAATTCTTTATTCTTCTGCATCTGATTTTCATTATGTCTTGGTGTTCAGTGATTAAAAATGAGACACTAGAATAATCTCCTGTTTCTCTTGAAATCTAGAAGTTTATTAGGTAAAATTATTTTTACCAGAGAACCAATGAAACTAGTTTTGTGGTTTTTACTTTTATTTCTTCTCACAGCAAAGTATTTAAATATCATCTTCAATTAAATAAAAAAAAAAATTACATTTTAATTGGATATTTTACTGAAAACAATATTCAGTTATTAAAACAGCATATTTCAAAAATTGCCATAGAGTACTCCAGAAAAACCTGTCAGTTCCCTTAATAAAAAAAATTTCCAATAAGAATGGGTTTGTCAAATTGAAATATTTGGCTAGACTTGTTTTTCTCATCACTGAATATGACCTATTTTATTTTTGAATCCTAGCAATGACATTTATATTGTAATTCATGCTCCAAAAACTTTATCTACTTTTAAAAAGTAATAAGACCTAAGACTGTCTGTTTATTTCCATCCCTTCCCTAGCTATTTTCAATTCTGGAAAATCAGCAGGTGGGCAGTTGAAATTATATATATATATATATATATATATAAAAAAATGTGTGTGAGTAAGTAAATAATCCTATCATTTTATACTGGTGATGCTAGTTTAAAATAATTATACTCCACTGTTATCTTATTCTCCCATAATATATTTTTTAAACTTTTCATTGTCAACTTGTCTTAGGATTTTGACCAGTACTTTGGTTGCTTATTTTTATATACTGAAATATCTTTCTTTTCGGTTTAGTTAAACTACTATTTATTCTATATTAGTTTAATTAAAGAGAAGAGAGAGACATTTCAGCATATTAGTAAACATTGTTAATTTTACATTTTTCTTTTTGTTTTTTGAGTTAGCTAAACTACACTGATATGAGAATTGGAGCTGTTTAGAAAAAAAGTCATGTATAGATAAAATATCCCCATCCCTCTAAATTAAAAGAAAAAAATGAAACAAAAAATTTTTTTTTTTATGTAAGCAAAATGGGTACAAAATTTTTTTCTCTCCATAATTGGAAAACAAAGTATCTTAAACATAGCTTCAATTGGATAGTGTTACAGATTTGCATTGGTTAATTGGTATAACTAGACCAATTTTTAAAACAGGCTGAATAGTAACTTTGATTGTTTCTTCATGTTGTACAATAGAATTGTTGATCACATATTTGCAACCTATTGTATGACCTAAAAATATTTGATTGTCACCCTTGGTAATGTAGACATTAAAATGACTGATAGATGAATGGTCAGATGTCCATTCTACCATGATATTTGTAGATTCATGTTTTTTCATTGACATATTCAAGACATCAGGTTTTTTGCTGCTCCATAAATTCTCAATAGGAAGAATCTGAAATGTAAAGAATTTGATGAATTTCTATCTTTTCTGCATTTATTTTTTTATTTTCCTTTTTTCAGACAATAACTCAAGTTATATTTATCAGAATTCATATTTGCCTTAGATTAATGTGGATCTGAAGCATTCCCTATCAGAGTGTAGTATCTGTTCAATTTGGTCTTATGTCAGATATCCTCTTCTTCAGCCTCAGTTGACCTACCTAGAGGAGAACTCTAATAAAAATGCATACAACTCGGGGACATTGTCTCAGTCTGATAAACAATGATTAAGTATCATAACATGGTGGATGAGCTTGTGTGTTCCTAGAGAGCTATATTGATGAGAGTTTATTTCCTGGCAGGTCAGTGGGTTAAGAACTGGAGCCATATGCAGAGTGGCAAAGACCAACAGATCAATACATTGGTATGCTGTGATCAATGGCACAATCAACTACACCAATATGAATCAAGCAATTCTGGTTAGTTGAATACTGCACAGTTGTGACCACTAGTAATGAATCATACTTACAATGTAAGTGTGAAAGTAATTGAAAAACAAAGTGGTGAGTAAAGCCATGGAAAAGCATTGAAGAAATTAGTTAAGTGTTTTTTGTTTTTTCATCCAAAGTGAGACAAAGCTTCTATGATGCAAGAGGTTGCTGAGTGTTAAAGAATATGAGAAAAATACTATTAAGGGGAGAGAGAACAATAAAAGAATGGGAATTAAAAAGATAATAATTGACACTGATTTTAAGTTTTTAAAGATCAAAGTTGATCAGAAAGCCAAAAGAGACATCCACAAAGGAGAAGAAACTGTTATCATAGAACTTACAGTTACATCTAGCCATTTCACCTGTAAAATGAGACCTTGCTGCTAATGTAGCACTGCACCTGAATTCATAAAGTTTACATACCATAGAGGAAAGTTTATCAGAATAATTACCATGAAAATATAGAAAAGGCACTGGGAAGCTATGTTATGCTAGTGGAACAGTGACTGAAATTAAGATACCAGGTCAAGACCAATAACATTGCAGATTCTTTATATTTTATCAAGCATTTCTAAATATATAGCAGGAGCACCAGACTAGATGTAGCAGCAATATTCAAAGCAAGAACAATTTGTAGACTTATGAATATGTAAAATAGATTCTGGTGAGAAAAATTCTCTAACATGACACAGTGAACCAACTTTCCTAGCAACTGATTCAATATAATCTTTCCACTTCATAGCAGAAAACCTTGGCCCAAAAAGTTGCAAGGAGTTACTCTCCTGCAAGTTAGCATCAGCTATGTTGATGAAAGGCAAAAAAGGTTCTCTTAGACAATTAAAAGAGAACAGTTTTGTTTTGAAGTCATTAAAATTAACAAATGAACTCTTTAAAATCTTATATTTAATTTGTTACTCCTTATTTTTAGTAGATTTCTAGGACACTCCACTGCAACTAAGTCATTCTGATCATATTATCTCCTTTTGTTACCTACTTAATAACAAGCAGCATGCCCTACTCTTCAGTGTGTAACTGAAAAGTGAAATGCCAATTTTATGCTGATTTATACCACATCCTATCAAATATTTCAACAGTTAATAAGCTTAGTAAATTTAATGAATAAAATGTAGGCTGGACAGTTTGATCTTGGGAAACATGGTGGAAGAAAATTGCAATAATAATGGACAGCTCTTTCTGAATTGTGCATAAATCAAAAACCATATGCTACTTATTCCACCAGAAAAATGGGCTAAAATGAATGCACATTTATTCAAAATATTGTGCCATGGACGCATAAAAAAATATCAATCGTACAATGCTTGGTTGGGCACGTTGACATACTGTAATGGTTAGTGAGCTTTTCTTGTGAAATCAATTACAACTGTTTAGTGACTTCAATCCTCATTGGGTGTTCCCACACATTCGGCCTTGTACCACATCTAAGCTACACTTAGAAAATCATTTAAGGCATTCTGACATGGTGTAATAGTTAGCAAAATTGTCTTGCTATATCAATTATGACTGAAGAGTTATCTGGTCCTCACTGGGTGCCTCAATCTTTTTGCCTTGTTCCATATCTAAGCTATGTTTAGAAAATCAGCAATGCAATGTTCAGTGTAGTGTAACTCATACAGACCACAGCCATAACCACTGTGAGCTCAGCTTTTACTTCATATCCCAAATTAAAATTAAAGAGAAAGATTTTCCTAGGAAAATGTTCCTACTCAGCTGAACTTGGTGTTGATTCCACAAACAATTTACAATCTCAATTAAAAGATTCAAGAACCCTTCCTCCGAGTCCACTGGAAACATGCGTTGTGACAAAGTAACTACCTTGCCTAAGATTTTAACAGTGTATGAATAATGTTTCATGGTGGGAGCAAACAAAGTATTTATACTAAATAAATTCCTAGTAAAGCACAGTGTATCTACTGTAATCTATATTATAAAAGAAGGGCTGATTCTCTGTCTATCACACTGCATATGACCTTGCATGAATGACTTACATGTGATTGTGCCATTTAATATATATACAAGCACATGTACACCCATAATTTGACTAAGTTTGAAATGACATTAGAATAATACATTCTCTTTCCACTTAGTCTGGACAAACCCTAAAAATCAGATAATTATTAAATTTTATCAAACTTTGTGAAAATTATTCAGTAATAAACAGAATTTTTTTTTTATTTAAGATTTTTTTGTAGAAATATTTCCTGGTCTTGAATTAAAATATACATGTGCACATGCAAATGTTTTCAGCACTCGTTTTTGAGACCCAGGTGCTTTTGGGGTGCAGTTGACAGGCTTTCAGCCATTGTAAAAACACTTGTCTTGTATAAGTTTTGTCAGGATTACAAAGAGATGTGGATTATCTTCCATTCAGTTGTGAAGCCAAGTTACAATACACTTTTTATTTTGCACAAAATCAATTTTTTAAAACAACTATTACAAAAAAAAACATGAAGAAAATAGATTCAAAATTTAAATCAATATTTTTGCCATTTTGAAATTATTTTGCTGCCAATAAGTTTGTTTTTAAACAACTATACAGATTGATTTTTTTAAAAAATTTCATTCATTTCATTATGATTAAAATAAGGTAAAACATATATATACTAAAATTTTACTGTATTTGTTAAATTTATGAATACTGGAAGGAAAGAAAATATTAAAAATCTCACCTGTAACTGTCCAAATAGAAAAGAAAATTTACAATCAGATTTGTTGCCTATACCAATACTAATGTCTGTTATTTTTGCAGAGATCCAATTTTCATCTAAAAGGAAATAACTGAAAATAAAATATAATTAATTAAATCAAATTTATTACAACTGAGGCAATTGTTTTTGTACAAAATGGAGTTAAAATGTAGGATATAAATAAATAGCTCAGGATTTTGTTACATTTTAGAGCAAAAACTAGTCAATCCTGAACTTCTTACACCAGACAGTATCATTTCCATAATATAAATAGTAACAACCAAGGTTGCAATTTTAATGGTTTCTGAGCTAAATATGGAGCTTTTATGGCTGTTCTGAAGTGTAAAAATATTCTTTCCTTACTAGCATGGATTTTAACCATATAAAATATAGTGTGAGTATATGTGCTTTCACACAATAATATTGTAGCTTTAGGGATGGAATCTCGTAAACTATAGATGCTTGCTCAATGTATTTAACAGAAAAAGAAACATTGCTATGATTCCTATAAGAGAGTAGGGTGCATTACATACCCCATAGGTAGCTAGGACCCAGAAAGGAAGCAACATTCATTAATGAGATAATTCATCAGTATTTACAAGGACACATGGCACATGGCATTAGTTAGATCCAGTGACAGGACCCAAAGAGTGTGAGTTCAATACCTGGTTAAGGTGGTGGAGAGGGGAATTAACAGGAGATAACTGATGACATCCATCAAACATGGCATGTGGAACTAGAACAGTCTACCCCAGTGAGCGAAATAAAGAGTTCAGTTCGGCATTCCAACCACCTGAAGAAGGCCAGAGCATAATAAATATGCAACAAAGATGGGGACAATAGTCTGAATAATGTAAATAGTGTACATAATACCTCATCTCAGAAACATAGACAGATACTGAGATAATTCATGAAAGCAAGAAATAACAGATTGAAAAAAATGTAAACAGCTCAAGTTAAAAATGGTGATTTTAGAGTTAAAAAATACAGTGTGATGGTACAGTCCGGAGAAACTGTACTCTTGACTGAGCTTGGTAAAATTGGAAATTGTGTATGTGAGAATTCATTTGGGAACAAAATGTTGACAAGATTCAAAAGTCTGAAGAAAATGAAATGTTTAATACTGTGACACTATTTAGCTATGGTAATTGGCTAACTAATTAACCATAGAAATTAAAACAAGAAATACTGAGAACGGAAAGAAGATATCCCGAAGGATATACCGTTTGATATTAAAAAGATTTTATTCTATTTCTGAAAAAGTTACTTTTCACAAAGACCCGTAAATTGGCGTAGACAGTAGACTCGTAGAAAAGCCATATGTGAGATTTTGACAAATGGATTAATGTTGTTTATAAAAAGAATGCTTGCCAAGAGAAACACGAGATTCAGAAAAAAGCAAAGCGTTGAGATATCAGGCAGACCATATGGCAGTCATAAAAATTTGGGCCGATACGGGGTAGAGAGAATCAATATTAACTGTCTTCCTAAGATATCATTTTTCTTGAGTGATGGCAAGACAAAGCCATATGGTATTTGTGGGATTTTTGGCATGAGAAATATTTTATTCTGATACGAGTTGGAGAGAATTGTTATTATTTACTTTCCAAAGTGTCATCTTCAGGTGCTGACACGTTGAGTAGAGTGTTGCCTCACAGAAGCTGATCGAGAGATTCCACAACCTCCGACTTCGCCTATCTTACCAATAGCAAGTTATACTGATGAACGAAGCCAAGCCAGTACCTAAAAACTAAACCAGTTGACTTAAGATACCAAAACTTGTTTAAGAAGCGTAGAAGTATCACACTCCATAGAAAATGGGCTGGGAGAAAAACACAAACCTGTATATGACAGACAAAGTTGATTTGTTATTTTTTTAACATACTTGAACCTCTTGAGTTTTTATTTGCTTTTTTTTTCCTTTACACTTTTTTTTTCCTTTACGCTTCTAAGATGAGTCCAGACCTCCAGTCTGGACTCATCTTACAGTACAGCCCGACACCTGATTGATCTTGTCTACCTAAGGTCAAAATCACAACGCGGGAAGGTTAGACTTGAAATCGAAGCAGTTACTTTGGTAACCAGATGTTGGAAGTGAGCTGGGAATGACGGAGCTGTTGTCAAACCGGTTGCAGCTGGTGTGAAGCTGTTAGCATCGACCAACCATCCCACACGGTATCCTGACCAAAGGATTCTGCCGGGTAGTGACGACCAGGATTCAACCCGAGACGGGCCAGTTTCACATACTGGTACCCTGACCAAGGGATTCCGCTGAGTAGCGATGACTACCGATTGACTGGGACACAAGCTGGTGGCAGCAACTAAGAGTCAACCCCAAAATGCCGGTGGAAGAAACATTACAGTTTCACGCCATGACTGAGAGTTGACCACGGGCCGACTGCTAAGTGTCACAATACTCTTATAACATCCAATGTGAACACAAACAAGCAAAAAATAGGTATGATCAAAATGGCAGAAACATTTGAGACACTAACCAGTACAAATCAAGCAATATTTTTCAATCAATAAAGAAAACAGATAAAAAAAATAATTGCTCATAGAGCCTATAAAGAGTTATAAATAATAAATTCTGAAATTTGTTAGTATTTGAACATCCTCAATACTCATACATATAGCAGAACATTTTGCTTCTTGATAAACTTTAAAAGACAAAACCATTAAGTATATCAACAAAACCATTTTTTAAAATTCTTATTCCAAAGAAGCATTTCCTAAACACAATTATGCAAATTTATAACTTAAAACATTGATGCATTTTTGTCGTATAAACTTTAACAGAAAACCCTGTTCACACATACAGACTCTTTTTAAATGAATCAGTTTCTGTATATATGTATAAATTTAATGTTTTTTACTACTGTAAAGTACTCATTTTTTCTTTATATATCTCTTACAAATGCATATAGTAGACCCCTTATTGTTTTTGTTAATCTTTTTTGTTTGCTGCTATTATAAAGAAAGGCAATAAAATCAAAACATTTCCACCCTTTATGGTAAATACAGTATTACTTGATTACCACTACTGACTGAACTTAATCATACTTCAGTTCTTTGAGTCAGATAATTTGTTTATTAGAACTTAGTCAAAACAGACTTACATTATTATCTTTTAAATTTCATGACCTTTCAGGATGTAGGTGCTCATGGTTCTCCACAGATTTTATTTCTTTATTATCTGTGAATTGCTTCCTTGGGAAAGATAGTGGAGTGGATTCCTGTAGTATTTCCAGGGTTTTGCGTTCAGAATAAAAACCTTCACCTAAACTAGCTGCCACCCAAGGATAGAGAGCTCAGTCTCCTTGCTATTTAACTCATAGCTTGAGAAAGATGTATGTTCTTGCCTTTCCTGAGGACATTAGTGCAAAAGTAAATGCAAAAAAATAGGTTGGAATTTGACCTTGGATTGCCAATTCCCCTTTCTGCTCTGATAACCATTTCCCTATCTGTATATCCCTTACTGCTCACAAAAAGTGTTTTCCTTAAGTCTAGAAAGATTTGATAAAAGTTTCTTAAAACATTAAAATAAAGACTCTTAAAATAAATTCATTGATAAAGATTAAAAATTGTTAAGGAATAATTTGAGATTTTATAGAACATATTAGATGTCTACTCACTGCTGCTGCCAGCCATTATGTCCATTTGAAGGAAGAAAATCCACATTTTCTCCAAAAATGTCGAGAAGTTTTTCCTTCTTTAATTCAGATATTTGATAATCTGTTGATGAATGACCAACATCAGAGAACATCAATATTGTTACATTGTTTTCTTTTTGCAGTGTCAACTCTAGCTGAATTGAACAGTCAATAAAGAGATGCTTGGTTGTATAAGAAATGAGTAGCGGCTCAGTAACAGGAATACAACAGCTGAAGATACTTTAAAAAGAAAAATACAATTAATAATTATTAAAGCAATTATGTTATAAGGGAATTATGATATTCATTTGTACATTTGTTAATTAGATTTAAAAAAATTATTACTAGATTGTCATGAATACTATAGAAGAAAACTTTATCAGGTTTCTGAAAATAGTGTAGGAATACAAGTCATGTGATGGTCACTTAGTGATGTCACTTCATATAGTGACAAAAGTTTTCAGTCAGTCAGCTCCCAGGAGTCAAACCAAGCAGTCATTTTTTGGCCTGGGCCCCTTAGCTTGGACTGAAGCTAAATCTGCATCCTCTAGCTCATGGTGCAGCTTACAAGTTGATGGTTCTGTTTTCCTCATAGAAACTGTCTCCGGCTCATAGTCCTCATGTTGGAAAAAACCCAAAAACATGATGTTTCTCGTTTGTGAAATATGTCCCTACCACGGACATAACAGGTACATCTGGCCACTCAAAATATGGCTTCTCCAGAAACACAGAAGAATCTCCATATTATATATAAGACCCTACTTTTTCGTTCTCTTTTCAATCTACTTGTTGTGTAGATATGTGTTATATTTTTCTCTGTATTGGTTCTATAGTCCAAGACTATTGCTACTATCTTACATAGCAAGCCTATATATAATGTCTATTACTAGACATAGGCTAATTGGTGGTAGCACTAACCAACAATTACCATACTACTAAAGACAAGATATAGTGTATTCATATCACTTTTAGTGTGGTTGCAAAACTTTTGCCTCAACTAACTTCCAACTTGACATTTTTGGTATGTAATTTTTGTATTTATACCGTTTCTGTGTGTTGACTTCTCCCCAGCCATTGTTTTAGGTATATGGATCAACTGATGGATACAGTCATGTGCTGACACAATTCTGGGTTTTGTACACAACATTATAACATGTCACACTCTTGGTTTTTGTATGTCATCATGAGTTTAATTAATTTTATTATCTACACATAACAGATCTTTTACTTAATATAGCCAATAAGACAGGGCTGATTTCTTTTCAAATTTGCTTTGTGATGTTCAGTTATGAATCTTAATTCTTAAAACCAAGCAATCAGCAAAAGGAATGTTCTAAGCTGACCAATCATGATATTGGAAATAGAAAACAAGTCCAAACATTTTTAGACAATATATGAGAGTGGCTCAATAACTTGACACAGATTTTTGTTGAATTTTGATTTAAAATTTTCACTGTATAGTGCTCAAATTTTGAGAGAAGCATTGAGTTAAATGAATAAAGAAGGAGTTGGAAAATAAATATTTGTTGTGGAAAATCCTTTTATTAAAAATTTAGGTGATGAACTTATTTATTTACCTATTTAGAATTTATTAAAGGTTTCATATAAAGATCCCAACAATTTCATGAGAATGCTTTAAAAGAAAAAACTTCTTGCCTGCTCATATTCTTATTTTTCTTTAAAGTTTGCTTCTCAACCAATAAACAACCTCCACCTAAAAAGGCATCATCCAAGTACATCATGTGAGAGACGACAGCATTAGTTTCTTTACACTTAACCGGCTGTAATTGTTGCAGGCCCAAGCTCACCCATTCTTGAGTTGAAATACACTTAAAAAATTAAAAAGATATATTTAATTAAGACTTTTATTTTTAATGCAATGCTTGTTTTTGTGTAGCATATAAAAGAAGTACATAAGATAAGCAGATTTCAAATTTCTTATCCACATATTTATAAGTACTTTTAGAGGTGGTAATAAAAAGACAAAAATCTCACTCAAAGTGAAATTTGCAAAGAAATGAACATTTATTAATGAGACAAAATAGGCTGTGCACAAAATGTGCCTATTTACAATTTAAATTTAGCTGTTTTTTTTTTACATCAAACCTGAGCCCATTCTCTGTAAAATTTTTCCATAAAATGTTTAAACCATCTTTCTTCATTTTGGCATTTTTTTTTTCATAAAATCAATTTGGAGCCCCTTTTTTCAAATCTTTACATATCAATTTTTATTCATGTTTTTCTTCCTGGCTACATTTCATCAGTTTCTTTTTTAAATAAACCATGGTAGTAACATTCTAATATTCTTAATTATTTTTTCATACAATATTATGTTTTATTAAAAATAATTTTTATATTAATTTTTACACATTCTAACATTTTGATTATTTTTTTCTCATACAATTTTAATATTATCTTTTTTGTTAAAAATAATTTTTATACATAAGCCTGAAATCTTCATTTATGTTAAACTTCAAAAATACAGTAAGAAGCAAAGTTATCTATATTTCATTTAAAATAATATAATTTATCAAATATTGAAATAGATATTTTTTATATATAAAAGTTAGAATATTATCTTAGACATTATTTAAATATCCAGAATCCCTTTCAGAAACCTTTTACCAAATATAGTTGCAATAACTCTTTACCCACTCCCTTCACATTTTGAGGACTGAGGAAAAAGATGGAAAGGAATTCATGAGTCTATGTGAAATTTTCTTTGGATCAATGAAAACCTTGTTTTCACAGAAATTAACTGCGATTGTTTTCTTTTTTCATAGGAGTTTTTCTCCAACAAGTGTCCTTATTCATCTTCAGAGTCTATAATACTCTCGATTTCACTGTCTTGCCTTGACATGACACTTTTGCCTTCATTACTTTCAGGCTCACTAAACATTTCTTCACTGTTGTCATGTTGCAATCTAACTGGAAATGGGATATTAGTGCATGCAGCACTAATATCCCATTTCCATTTTTTCTATTACCAATGAAAAGATGACCATTTTGTTGAACCATCTACGTCTTTTTTTTTTTGATTTGCATATACATTTAAACTGATTCATTTTGAAACACTTTTCCAAATTTTTTTATATGGTGGACATTTTTGTTTTTCTCTTTTTTTTTCTTTATCATGTATGTGTCCATTTCCTCTACCAAATACATAACTTTTCTTTGATTAAACTTCCCAATTAATTCTTGTTGCTGAACACATTTGACACACTGTTCTAGTGACAACTTTCCCCTGTTGTAAATGCATTAGAGTCATTTGCCAATACTTCTCATTTTGAAGGCTGTTTATCAATTTCATTTGATCAACTCCTCTTTGACTGGTTTTCTGATCCCAGTTTCTCAAATTCACAATATGTAGTGGCCTGTTTCAAATAAAAAACATTCAATAACTGGTTCATTTATTTTTTGAGAAATATTCACAAACTTAGCTCTCTCTGCATTCACTAGTTTTTCTTGGATGCTATGTTTTTCACTATTAGTTGACTTATATTGTCAAACATCATTTCCTCCAATTGTCTTGGGTGTGCAATTGTTGATAATTTTATAATGGCCCCACAACCAGCAGTTGCCAAGAAGACATCAATTATTTGCTTTTCTGCTCCAACTAATTTTAAATCCTTCAGCTTTAGCTGCTAGAATCCTAAGCCACACTTATGCATACTCATAATTATTCAGTGATAATTGTTCATTCAGTTCTTTAGCTATCAGAGACACCATTGTAGTGTAGTGTTATTGTTGTAAAGTAGTTTTCACAGAGGAGGCTTGTATTTCAATAAGTTGGTCCTAAAAGGGTCTGACATACAAAACGTTAGGAACTTGCAATAATAGTAAATGACGCAGCAATCTAGTTGTGGTGGTTCATACCTTAATGTCCAACATCGACTGACTCACTCAACTCCACTGAGCCCAACTGGCGACCGCTACTACTATTACTACTTATTATGTGTGGGAGAGTCTATTACAATAGAATAGGTAATGTTCTAGTATAACATCCCCCCCTAAAACTTTACTCCGTAGGAGTAAAAAGTTTTCTTTCTTTATTTATTTATTTTTCAAATTTTTACAGAAAATACAAACAAAAATAAAAAATTTTTTTTTTTTTTTTAAGCAACATCGTAGTGTATTTCCTACGTTTTTTTTTTTTTCACTTTTAAATGATCAGTTGCCTTTCTTTTTTTCTTCTGGATCGGCGTACCTTAGGTAAAATTATTTGCAGGGCTTGTTAGATCAAACTTATTGAAAATCACCTCCATCAGCGTTTTTTTTTTTCGCGGGACCGCTGTCAACCATGTCTGAAAACATCGTCTGATCTAGTTACTGCATGTGAGTTTTTCCCCTTTCACCAAGTACCTCATATAGCCGATCCGCTTTTTTATTTTTTATATATCTCCAAAGCGTTACCAGAAACAACCTTCCGCTTTGAACTTCTTAAAGATGGACTCACAGTTTCTGTAAGTTCTTCTTGTTGACTTAAATCATTTAATAATACTGCATGTCCTTGGGTGTGGGTAACTTGATCTTCAGTTTTTTTTGGTGTTGGCTTCATGTTTACTTTCTGGAGCTTGTTTTTTACGTATATTGTCGATGTTACCCACTCAACTTTTTTAAATACACCGATTTTATCTATCTGTTCAATTGAAGCAAACAGCACATTCCGTTTCTTTTTGAATACCACCTGAGCGTTTTGTTTTGGCTGTAATTTTGCCTCCATCTTGGTACATGTTCCCAAACCTGGAGAAAAAAACTGTAGGAAAAGATCCCTTTAGTTTTTTTACTAATTTTTGGGCTTCGCAGTTTAAATTTTCAACCTTGTAACAGACAGAATTTATTGGTAAATCCTATAATTGAAATTCTTTAGCTTTTTGCGTTTTTTTATTTAACGTGACGGTTGTAACAAATTCTCCAATAAAATGTATTTTTTTCTCCTTTCACTAACCTCGCGATTTTATTTGTTTTTATTAAAGTTGGTTTCCCCAACTTTTTCCACGTATTCAAATTTATGATAGATAGGTCGGAACCAGTGTCAAGTTGCATTTTTATTTTTTATTACTTATTTCAATGGTAACAAATTTTCTGGTTATTCCGTTGTTCACTTCGTCGGACTTTAATTTTCTTATTTTATTGTCTTTATTTTTTGACCTGCAGTGCCAGTTTTTATGCCCCACTCTTTCAAAGTTGAAACATTTTTTATTCCTAAAATTGCAATATCTGTACCAGTGAAGTTCACCGCAAGCAAAACATGGCTTCGGGAGTTTTTGTTTATTTTTCTCTGGTATTTCACTTTTTGTTTGATAATCCGTAATTTTAGAATTCTTTTTGGTAAACTGACTTTCTTTTTTGTAGCGTATTTTTTTACATGCAAAACGCCAGACTGTTCTATCTTTTTCAAGTCTTTCTTTATGCTAACATATCTTGTGCAGTCTTCTGCCAAATTCTTTATTGTAATACTTTGTTGGCTTTCCAATTTTGAAAGTACCAATTTCCTCAATTCTGCGTCACTTTCTGACACTAGTCCTTGAACTAAGCACTTAAAGTTGTCAGCGCTTAATTCTGCTAGCTTGAATTCTTCAAAATGCTTGTTCACATTGGCTGCATATGTTATATAGTCTTGTTCATCCTCTTTCATCAGATGCAAACATTTCCACCTTTTGTGAAACAAAGATGTCTTTTTACTAAATAATTCACTAAATTACCACCTCGGTAAAAGTCAACTCGCTAGTTTTTTTTCGGTAAAATGTAGTTTACCAATTTGTTATGCTCAGCAGTTCCTAACTTGCTTAAAAGAAGTCTAACCTTCTTTCTTTCAGACCACGTGTGACAGTCCTCGTTATACACGTCCGTATATTTTTTATAATACTCTTCAAAAGTTATCTCTTCATCTGGACTGTACGTGAATATTTCAATCGAATTCCGTATTGTATTCTCTGAGAAAGAATCATTTTGTAAATTTTTCTCTTTCCTCTTCCCAGTTATTTCCAGAATTTTGTTTTGAAACTCCTTATGCATCAGTTCCATGTCTCGTTGAAACTACATCTGTCTATTAAAAGTTTCCTCCTGTAGTTGCATCTGGAATGTTTTCTGTTGCTCTAATATTGTCATTTGTTGTTCCGTCTGGAACTTAAAAAATTCCTGGAATATATTTTTGCATTCCTCCATCTTCGCAAAAAGTTTACACAATGCTTAAATATTGTAGAGGGGGGTCCAAAATGAATTTGTAATTCGTGACCCATTTGAGCAAACTGTCTTATCAAGAAAAAAAAAATCTTTTCTCAGTTGAGAATATGACTGATTTTTTCATCACTAAGTTGACGTCTTGTCTTTCGAAAAAACTTTTCCAAGTTTTTGTTTTTTTTTTAAATGTGAATCTGAGATGTTGTTGTCAAAAATTTGACGAGCAAATATTTTTTTTTTTTTCCTCTGTATGAAAAACAAATTTCGTCACTAAATAACATGACTTTTTTTTTTTTTTTTTTTTTTCTTTCACTATATGAATCCAAATCCCACATATGCCACGTTTGTTATGGCGGGTGAATTTTTTCTTTTTTTCTCTTCTGTATGAGTTACGAATGCACGTTGTCTCAAGTGTTGTAGAGTAGACACAAAGATTTTTTTTTTTTTCCCCGTATGAATCCAAAATACGTTCGTCGCTAAGTGTTGTATATGGCAAAACAAATTTTTTTTTCTGTATGAATTTCAAATTCTGGTCACCAATGTGTTGTTATAGAGTGAACGAAAACTTTCTTTTCCAGTATGAGAAATGAGTCCTTCGTTGCCAAATGTGTTGTAAGGCGTACGAAAAGTTTTTTTTTTCTTTCTCCGTATGAGTTTCGAATCCTCGATCGCCAAATGTGTTGTAAAGTAGTTTTCACAGTGGATGCTTGTATTTCAATAAGTCGGTCCTAAAAGGGTCCGACATACAAAACGTTAGGAACTTGCAATAATAGTAAATGACGCAGCAATCTAGTTGTGGTGGTTCATACCTTAATGTCCAACATCGACTGACTCACTCAACACTGAGCCCAACTGGCAACCGCTGCTACTACTACTACTACTACTTATTATGTGTGGGAGAGTCTATTACAATAGAATAGGTAATGTTCTAGTATAACAGTTATTGACTCACAAGAAGCAGTAGGCACTTAACTACTTGATGGGATATAGACGTAACTATTCATAGTCTTTGTGAAGAGTGTCTGAAGTCATGTGAAAGGTTTCGTTTAAGTTCTTCCTGACAAGCAACCAGCATTGAAGTTCATGCCAGTGTAAAATTATTTGCCAATTATATTATTGGCTTCTAACCAAACATGTGGTATTTCAAAGAACTTTCTTTCAACAATCTAAGAAAGCTAAGTATTTCAAACCATCTCTCTTCATCTACTTTTGAAAGTATGCAACCATATATGCCTTCTGTGAGCAACAAACTCTTACCTTTGTTTTAAATATGTTTTAAAATTATTTTGTGTCAGATCATTTAATCTGTTGTATGAACATTTCCTCTTCATAACAATTCATTAAAACTATGGAATTTAAAATTTTTTTCTTATTTTCCTGAAACAAGCTATTTTGTAAATAAATTCCTTGTTTTATTAAAATTACACATGTGTTTCCTTGTCATTCTTATCCTTAATTAATCTTCTTGGCATGGTTAAATTAACTGTTCATGTTAACCCCTAAGCTTCACAGCACAGAACAGTAACAAAATTGGTAAGAATAAAATTATCTGTATCCTTTAACTGATAGTGGCATAGCCTTTCTAGTCAATAATCATTTTTTTATAGTTAGTAATTTATCTACAATAATTTGTTCCACATTGTAATCCACATATTTTACACTTTATTTTTACATAAACTTTTTATGCAAAATGTTGCATGAAAATTTTATATGAAATAGACAGATTTCTTTTATGGAAATTTCAAAGTTTTCAACTAAACAATTACATGTAAAATTTTCATGAAAGCAGAAAATATTTTGTTATTTTAAACTTCATGACTTACTTCACCATTAAGAAAATAGTTTTGTCCATATCCATGACAGAAAGAAGTAACTAGAGGCAATGCAATTGGACAGTGGCTTGGGCAAAATCCATGCAACAAGGACCAGAATCTAAAATAAAATTGAAAGAGGAAAATTGTCTCAAGTATTGTTGCACGTAAAATCACTTTAGTTAATCAGCTATCTTTTCCTCAATGATCAATAATTAAAACAAGATTACTAGCCTTTGTACACCTAAAAGAATAAAGTTATACATTTTATTAGTTCTTTACACAATGGCTGAGTGTGAAGCTGAAAATAGAAGTTGTATTTTTATGAACAAAATCAAAAAATTGTTATTTTTATTGCTATTGCATTATTTAGATATTTTTTATATTAGTTATTATTTTCTTTCTTTTTATGGATATTTTAATTATTGCACTTTTAAATATTGAACAGATTGTAAACTGATCATTATTTAGAAACATAAGTGTGACTATTATTATTGTTGATTTATTCCTTGAAATAAAATAAGTATTTCACTTAGATAATTTGAAAGATTAGAATAGTTTCAAAGATTTGCATAAATAATGTAAATTTAAAAGATATGAATAAACTTGGATATGAACTCAAGGATCAACAAACAAAACAAACATTTGAACTGGGACTTATTTAAGATTTTTTTCAAATTAAAGATTTCTAGATTATGTCAAATGGACAGACATTGTCAAGAAATGTCTTGGTTATATTTGCATGTCTATCAGTATGAAGTGTGGCTAAAAGCAAAAAAAGGTATGATAATTTTGAAAATGTGTTTCCTTCTGGATTTGAAATTCGATTTGTTAATTTGAACGAAGGAAAATATAATATTAACAGGTACGGAATGTGTGTATGTGCAATTGGTCATTGGAATTTGTTCAGTTATCTAAATTTTCAGGTAACAAATACACTCCTATCTAAAATTGAGGTTAAAATGTTATTGGACAGTGTTGAACAAAGCTTCCTGACATCCATTTCCAAAGAAAACAAAGGCAGGAGGTAAAGAAAAGGAAGAAATAGAGAAAGACTCTGCTGAGAACTGTCAAGCAAAGCCAGTTGATCTTACTATGAAATTCTTAGCTGGGTAAAACCAGAATCCTTAATGCGTATTGAATCATGAACTTTTTAAAAGATTGTTGTAATGTCTAGAATAAGGAAAATAAAACTTCAGATTTTCCTTTAGTTCATCTTTTTATAATCAAATCTTGTGTTGCATCATTCTTTATTGATTTTGACATCTGAGGAAACCTTAGATGACATTCATAGATGATCTATTAAAATTTACTATGGCACAATTTTGTTACTTTTAGTAGTAAATTGTGACACACAACTTACTTAATTTCTTGTGATCCAGAAGATCTCTTCGGCCAGGGACAGTTCTGCTTTATGTCAGTAACCAGATTGCAGTTAGTGAAGTGACAAGATGGTATTTAGCATCATGACCAAGGCTATATCTGGGACTGGGTTGGTTTAAGGTCACACATGAACAAAGATATTTCCAAGAAATGACTTGGTTATATTTGCATGTCTACCATACACACCATCAACAAAGACGTTGCCAAGAATTTTCTTGATTATATTTGCATTATAAAATCAACAAAATACAATACTCACCAGTGGCATGAAGTAGGTAAACCACTGCTAGTGGTGGACTACTTAGACAGCATACAATAGTGTCTAACATATTTATGAGGATTGGCACATACCCATTAGTGTTCATAGGTACATCGGTATATAACATATTTACATGCCTATTATACACTCCATCAACAAATACATTGCCAAGAAATGTTTTGGTTATATTTGCATGTTTATCATAAAAGAAGTGGATAAGATCAACTGAACATACACATGATGGATATATTGCCAAAAAAATGTATGTTATACATTTGCCAAAAAAATAATCATTTTTCATCATTAAACATAAATTAAGAGCACAAATTGATTTTGTCAATATCTTTCAATTCATACATTAAATACATAAATACTTCAAATGAAAGATAATGATAAGAAAACCTACAAGTATTTTTTCAATTGGTATCATTCAAAAACAGAATGTTCTTAACAGTTTTGAGCAAACTATTTTGATTAAGATCTAAATAATTTTAACCTGTGGTATAATTTACTTTCACTTGGTTTATACATCATCATTTTACAACACAGAGAAGCAGTAATTCTTCTTTTTCTACTATATACCATGTCCATTCAGAACATTGGCAATCATGACTCTCCACAACATGCTGTCTTTTGTAGCTCTAATTAAGTTTTGTCTTTTTTCTATCACTCCTAGTCCCTGTTCTGCTACTCATTTCCAAAAGCTCATTAGGTAAGTTATTTGATGCTTTCCTCTGTCTCTCTTGCCTTCAATATGTCCTGTGAGTATCAAATACTCCAAACCTTCCTTTCTCATTATGTATCCTAAAAATTTCAACTGTCTTTTCCTGATGTTCATTACAAGTGTACTTTTTGTTTAATTTTCTCTAAAACTTTGTTGTTGCTCCCATATTCAATCCATGGAGTCCTCAGCATCCTTCTGTAGAATCACATCTCTGTTACTTCAAGTCTCTTCTTCATCTGTGAGGAGTTTGTCCAACATTCACTGGCATATAGGAGGATGGATATTGCATAAAAGTATTTTTTTTTAATGAAATAGTAATAAACCACCTCGCTATTTGATATCATATCCAATTTATACTTGATATTACAATAGTATACAGTTAAGCAAAGTATAAGTACCAGCAGTTTATAGAGTTTGGGTAAACATTAGTCTTCTAAATCTCTCAACTTTATATATAAAACTTAGGAGACATTTTTTATCCATTTTTGAAGGAAAAAACATGAAATTTTATATGTCAGCACATATGATAATTTGAGCATATAAATTGCTGGAATCAAGGTGTTAGAATGAATCAAGTAGTAAAGTCTCTATGAAAGCAAAATTAAAATTGCATAGGAAAAGTCAATGTGTGTGTGTGTGTGTTTGCATAGACACATTAACTTCTGTGTTTGTATCAATATATTTTCCTTATAAAAAAAAAATTGTTCAAAAAATATGTGAAGACAGATTTGGAAAATAGTTTTTCTCAAGTTTTCTGCTACCTCATTTTAATAAAGTTTAACCTCATCCAATAAAAATAATATAAAAGGTCATTACTTTGTTTCATTTTCCAGGTAGTTTTTTGATTCATGACATTCATAAACCCAACCATTGGCAAAGATTGCAGCAGACAACTCTTCAGTTCTGATTACTTCCAAAGCCTTTCAAAAAACAATTTAAAATTAAAAATGAATTACAAAAGTGAGTTATATTGAATTTTTGGCAAACTTAGACTTTTGTGCCTGCAAAAAATGGAGTGTCAAAAGCACAGATTTTCCATTGTCACTGCTATTATTTTAACTACCTTCACTCCTCAGCAATGTTTATTGTTTTAAGAAGCAATGATTAGAATTGTACTAAAACCTAAACATATGATGAAAGTGAACTTATACATATTTTTGTTCTTGAGAATTTACAACAAAAATATTAATCATTTGTTTATTTAAAAGAATAATTTTACAATATTCTAAAAACTAATAGAATCAAAACTAATGCAATATTTATCATTTACTAATTTATATAGAAATAAATATGTAAACAAATTTTCATAAATTTATAAACATTTATTAAATTATCAAAATATGAGAACCAACTATAAGAAAATCCTTATTATTTACCATTTTATAAAGTTCAGATCAATTGGTAATGTTACAAATTTTCAATAAAATTCAAACATATGGCAGTGAATGCGGTTCACTTAAATGAAAAAAAAAGCTATATTCTATTCAGTAATACCAATAGCCAATACCAAAGCAGACAACGTATAGTAAACAAATCCAAGATGTAAAGTTATAATTATTTTAATATATAAGAAACATGGAATGAGGGAAGGAAACAATAAATAAATAGGAGAAAGGAAAGAAAATGTAAGGATTGTTATTAGGAAAATGTTCAATGGTCACTTATCTGTTATATAATGTTATCAATCATTTTGCTGATCAACAGCCACTTATCTGTTATATAATGTTATCAAACACTTTGCTGATCAACTGCCACTTATCTGTTATATAATGTTATCAACAATTTTTTTGATTATTATTTTTTCTTTTTATAATTTAAGTAGATAGAAGGATTTTGAGATATTTCCCTCCACATGTAGAAGTACTTCAGCTAATTAATGTGGTTTGGGCTTATCAACCTGAAAGCACCTTGCATTTCATGCATGGAAGACACATAATCCTAGCTTTTGAATTCCTGAGAATTCTTGAAGTTTCTTTTACTTTTTACTTTCTGTCTCTGGAATATCAGTAGTCAATTTTACATGGAGAAAGGATAACTGTTTTTTTATGTCTTCTTGATATAACAGTCATAATCTTTTTGATCCATTACTGTACGGATGTAACCTATTGTTGAACATTATATATGAAATGAACAATTGTTGAACATTACATATGAAATTAACAATTTAACCTTTGACCTAATTTAAAAGCAATCAAAGCTGAATTTTTAATAAACAGAATACAAAATAAAAGGTAAATTATTAAATTTTAGGATAGGGATTTATAATAAATATCAATACTTCAAATGATTGATTTAATTTAACTTAATTATTTTTAATATAAATAATGAGTCATGTCACAGTGATTAGCTGATGTTCTGTCAACCATTCTAATAAACAATATAATAGTGTGAATAAGTGTTATTATAAAATAAGTAAATAGTGTTTATTATTTTTGTTGTCAATTCTCAAGTACAAAGAAAATGTATCAGGTAATCCCATAAGTTCTGTCCGAATTTTACCTTTTTGTTAAAATGAACAAAATTTAAAGGGTATTTTATAATGTCTAATGGAGGTGAACATTATTTTTATGTTTAGATGCATTTAAACTGATCAAATTTTATTTCAGAGAACAATAAAATTAAATTTTGTTTGATTAAAACCCTGCTAACATGGAAGTACCCAAGAATCATTTGAGGCACATAATGCTTTATGAGTTCAAGAAAGGAAACTCAGCAGCTGAAGCGGCTAGAAACATTCACTCAGTTTATGGAGAGGAATGTGTGAATGAAAGAACTTGCAGAAAATGGTTTGCAAAATTCAGAGGTGGAGATTTCATCGTTGAAGATGAAGATTGAACTGGACGTCCAGTTGAGTTTGATGAAAAGCTTCTTGAAGCAGCCCTTGAAGAAAATGCTGCTTTATCAGTTGAGGAATTGGCAGTGGTTCTCAGTTCAAACCATACAACTGTTCATCATCATCTTCAAAAACTTGGAAAATGGGTGCCTCATGAATTGCCTGAAAACAACCTCAAATCCCGAGTTGACATCTGCTCTTCTCTCCATTCTCGCCAACTTGTTTCACCTTTTTTGGATAGACTTGTGACTGGCAACGAAAAATGGATCTTTTATTGAAATGTTAAGAGTCATAGACAGTGGCTTGGTAAAGGGGAAGGACCCCAGCCACAGCTGAGAAGGGAATTTCATGGGCAAAAGGTTCTTCTTTCAATCTGGTGGGATCGCCAAGGAATAATCCGCTTTGAATTCTTACCATCTAATGCAACAATTAATGCTCAAATATACTGTCAGCAATTAGAGTGTTTGAACCAAGCTTTGAGGAAAAAAAGACCTGCTCTAGTGAATCAAAAAGGGGTGACGTTTCATCAGGACAATGCGTGACCCAACACAGCAAGAATCACGTCACAAAAGATCGAAGAACTTGGTTGGGAGAAAATTCCTCATCCACTTTATTCTCCCAATCTTGCTCCTTCAGACTACCATTTGTTTCATAGCTTACAGAATCATTTGGAAGAAACAGCTTTTGTAACATAGGAAGAGGTTAAAACTGACATTTGTGAGTTGTTCGAATCAAAGCCAAAAGAATTTAACAGTAATGGAATTAGTAAGCTTGTTAATAGATGGAAGGAAGTCATAGATAATCAGGGAAAATACATTGTTGATTGAATCTGTAATTAAATGTAACATTTGGTCAGTTGTTTTCTTTATTCAAAATTCGGACAGCACTTATAGGATGACCTGATATAAATTCACTTTCATATGTTTAGGTTTTATTACAATTCTAATCATTGTTTTTTAAAGCAATAAACATTGCCGAAAAGTGAAGGTAGTTAAAATAATAGTACTGTAAATGAAAAAAAAAGTCTTTTTGACACTATTTTTTGTGGGCACAAAGGTCTAAGTTTGCTTAATTTTTATTAGATGAAACATTGTCAACCATTATTAAGTTTTTATTTACTATTTCTTTCACTTTTAATAATAGCTGACAATATGTCAGTTGATAAAAATTCAAGATCATATTAGTGCTACTAATGCTATTAGTATGATAAAAACAATAACACCAAATATGCCATCAACCAATCAAGGAAAAATACAGAGTAATTTTACATAGATAGATTTAATCTTCTGGCAACCATAAATGTCCCTGTAACTAAACATTTAACTGTGATTAAGTATCAAACAATTGGAAATAATACTTGTAGTATATGATGCATATCAAAAAATACCCAAGTTCTGAATTGAATTTAATGTCCATCAGGAACCTTTGATCTAAGAGGAATTGATTTGTAGTGACCTCAATATATGTGCAATTCACCCTAAGCGATAGCAAAATAAGCTTTGTACTTGATGTCGCATCAGAATGTCGATAGAGCTAGATGCCTTTAGAATTGACCTAAAGAGTAACTTCATAGCCACTGAGTGCATAATTGGGCCTCTGTGATAGTGAGTGTGCTAACATAAACAGAAAATAAAACCAGCTGAAATTTGGATATACACACACACAAGACAACCAGACAACAGGAAGTTATATAAACACCCAACCCACAAAGGGAAACCAGAGAAAGTCTTTCATATTCTTGCATGAAAAAGATCAAACATTCAAAGAAAGTCCCCAAAACTATATATTCTCTCTGGTGGATGTTAATTTGACAGAGTCCAGAAGTGAATAAACAATTACTTTACATATAAAAAATTTAGTTTCATATTTTTATCAGACCTTACTAACATAGCATTATATATATAAAAAAAGTTTGTAACACTCATGACAGGGGATTTTTTTTTACTTGCTCTTCAAAGTTGAATATATTCTTTTGTATAAAGTTCAGCCTTTTAAAAATATTCTTGTGAATAAAATCCTTTGCTGTTGTGACAAGTAATGATGATGAGTTCACATTTCAAAAGCAGATATTTTGTTGAGCATTTACATAAATATAATCATATATTTTATACTAAAGTTCTCCCAATACAAGGCCCAGGAGCCACTCAAGGTAGAGGGCTATTGTATAGTGTTGTATGAGCATAAGAAAGAGCAAGAAGTGACGTTTTATGCAGTAAAGATAACAGTTAACCCTAGGATTGAAGAGATCAAGACTATAGTGAATGGGAAAGATCCTGCTGAGAGTTTGTTCCACAAAGTAGCAGTTCTTGGGAACAAACTGTTCGAATGGAACTTACTTCTTACTATTGAAATACAAAGGGAATATTGATAAGTCACCCTTTAGTAGATGGCATGGCAGGTCCCAGTCAGGGCTGTTGAGACTAAGGAATTAGGACTCAGGCCATGGAAATAGTAACAGAGGATCAAGGGGCTTGTGACATAAGTAATTTGTAGGATGAAAAATAATTCAACACCCACAAGGTCACATAGATGCTTTTGAACTCTAAGAAGGTTAATGGGTTGATACTGCAACAGGCATCACTGGTGCTACCAGAAATAAAAGTTATAAGAAAAATATATTATTTATATTAGATTTTGAAAACATTGCTGTTACCAAATGATGATGATGTTAATAATAAGAAGAAATAAATCTTGGTTCCAATATTGCTGCAAAGAGTTTATTAAAAATACATTATGACTTATATTTGTAAATGTTCAAAAGACTTGTGTGATAATTGTTTTTTGTTGTCCTTTTTTTGTAAATTGATACAACTGTTTGAATTACAAAAAGTCATTAAAATATTTTCCTAATGTGGCATTTCTAGTAAAACAATTATATTAGTATAAACCTAACTAGTTTGAGTTCAAGCCAACACAAATGTTGGGAAAGTCTTTTATAGTCATGCTAACAGTATACAGCAATTTATTCATTACTGTCTTCTTTTTTTTTTTTATAAGATATGCTTTTGTAAAATATGTGATAGTATGCAGTATTATTTTTTCTTATTGTTAGTGATTGCCAGTGATTGAAACTAGAATAATGAAATAAACTAACGTAAGTGATGCACTTACTTTATTAGTGTTGTAGCCTCCTCCTCCATAACAGCCACGACCAAACACATCAACACCAACAAAAACATCATATGGTCGGCTTTTCTCAGTACACAACTGTTTAGATTTTGATAAGTTTTCTTTGCTCCAGTTATAGTTAAGAAACAATCCATCAGATTTCTCAAAGAAAATCCTGTCAAAATAACATAAAAAACAGAAACCAATAGAATTTTTTCTTAAAAAAAAAGACAAAGAAATATTGGTTTCTAGAAACCAATAGAATTATTTTTTCTATAAATAATTTCATGGTAATTATTCTGATGAACTTTCCTTTATTGTACCTAGACATTATGAAGTTAAGAGCAGTACTAGGTTGGTGGCAGGGTTTTATTATTTTATAGTTGAGATAGCTAGATGTAACGATAAATCCTATGCTAACAGTTTCTTATCTTGCACTTCTCGCTTGTGTAACTCTCTCCCAGCTCCTTGATTCCCTGTCAACTTTGAATTGCAAAAAATTAAATGCAATGTCAATCATTATTGTCTGTCTTCTTAATTTTTGTTCTTTAATTGTTTTCTCTCCTTAATAGTATATTTTGATCATATTCTCTAACACCCAGTAACCCCTTAAATATAAATATCTTTGTAGCTTTATTGCTTTGCCTGAGGTGAAATGTCTAAAAATAAATTAAAAAAATTGATTTTCACCTAAAAAGTTGTCAGTTGAGTTTCAGATACCCCAGTACATGATGCTGAGGATGTTAATACAATGGGTAAGTATTGTCTATTGCACACTGAATGCTATCCACAAGCTTTGGATACCCCAGTACATGATGCTGAGGATGTTAATACAATGGGTAAGTATTATCTATTGCACACTGAATGCTATTCACAAGCTTTGGATACCCCAGTACATGATGCTGAGAATGTTAATACAATGGGTAAGTATTGTCTATTGCACACTGAATGCTATCCACAAGCTTTGGATACCCCAGTACATGATGCTGAGGATGATAAGTATTATCTATTGCACACTGAATAGTACATGATGCTGAGAATGTTAACACAATGGGCACACTGAATGCTATCCCAAGCTTTGGATACCCCATACATGATCTGAGAATTGCACACAATGGGTAAATGCTATCCACTAAATGCTATCCACAAGCTTTGGATACCCCAGTACATGATGCTGAGGATGTTAATACAATGGACAACTATACAAAAAAATGTAAAAATTCATTATTATCATGTGTCTAGGTTTTATTATAATTCTAATCATCACTTTTTAACAATAAATATTGCTGAGGAGTGAAGATTGTTAAAATAATAGCAGTGTCAAGGGAAAAACTGTCCTTTTCACACTTCATTTTTTTGTGGATATGAAAGTTAAAGATTGCCAAAAGTTTTTTCCATTATGGAAAAATTATTTCTTAAACCAAATACATATTAAAAGACACAGAAAAAGGAAAGTGAATTAATATTTTATTTGCAAGTTGACATGGTTGTACATTGCACATCTGTGATGTGGAAACAATTTTGACATTTTTAATTAAAATTTATAAAAAATTACTATTATGTGTTTATAAATATCAACTTTTTGGGTAACCAACAAAAGTTTGTGAAAATAAAGAAAAGCTTACAAAACACTAAAGTTATAAACATTTACTAGATTTTACATTAGGTTTTAAAATAATTACTTCAAACCAATTTTACATCAGTATCTAATCACATTATCTAATTCAAAAAAAATTAGAGCTTCTTTTTTTTCAGAATTACTGAAATTATCTTTTTAAATCAAAACATTCTATATAAAATAAATACTTACATATTTTTTTCATTTAATTCATTTTGCCAACATAATGAGCCATTGTTTATGACACTGTCATACCATATCACTTTGGAATTGGGAATACGCTGACCCATTTTAGACTTGAGATAGGAAACAAAGTCACACAGATGTTGGATTTGAGTTTTCTAATGACAGAAAATAATATGAGAAAGTATATAAGGAGAAACAAAATAATTTTATGAATATTTACTAATTGTTTTGGTGTAAAAGTGTAAGTTACAGAATCAGTTGACTGAAAGAGACAGAAAAAACATGGTTCAGGTATTTTTTATGCAAGCAAAAGATGAAATGAATTTTGCTTATATAATTTTCATAGTTCAAATATTCATTGTTTATTTTAAAAATAGTTTTATTTAATTTTTATCTGTGATATTGATAATTTGTATATTTATTTGCGGATAATATATTGTTTTAGAAATATTTAGTAAAACAAATTCAAATCATTTTCAGCAATATCCCTTTAATTGATTGACTGATGTGTTTTTGATGGCTTATTAACCCTTTGCAGGTTATTTAAAGTCAGAAAATACTTTTAGATTGTAAGAATTTTGGGTGTGGGGGGGGGAGATAATGATTTAGTGATACAAGTCTTACTAATTGACCCATAGCTGGGGAGAAGGGTATTTGCATGTTTGTTGAATATAATAAACCCAACTGTAATTGGAACCCGGCTCTCTGATTAAGAATTTCTAGCCATTATCCATTACACTGCCTACAGATTCAAGCGTACAGCAACTGACATTCTCAAGTGGTCGCCCATTTAGGCACTGACCAGGCTCAATGTTGCTTAACTTCAGAGATTGTATGGGAACCAATGTTTCAACATGATACTGCCATAAGCCATAATATCTCTTTAAGAAAAATCAATGAGAACAAAAGGAATAATTTTTAAAATTAACACAAGGAAAGATTATCAGAATAAAAGGATGTGCAAATTTTTTTTAAAATGAGCTTAATTTAAGTGAAAGAAAAAGAAACAAAATTAAAGATGGGTTTATTATGTGATCTTTCTATCATTCTAGATGAATATTAAATATAAAAAAGTAGAATATTTAAAACAGCTTAATAATGAGACCTATATTATTATTACATAAAGTTGTGTAGACATAATAAAGTCAATAATATTAGACAATATATCATTATACAATAACTAATTGGATTTTTTTTTATTTCAAATAACGCTTTAGCTACATTAGATAAATACAAAGAATTAAAGTGAGCAATGTCTTACAAAATGTTTTTATTCTTCCTTTCCTTTTTTAAAATTTCTTTTTCTATTTTCATGTATGAACTGATAATTATGTGTATAAATAACCAAATATAATTTTGTTAACTTTGTCAAGCCATTATTATTCTTTAATAATAAATGTTTATGTCCTGGTATGTTGTTATTAGCTTCCATATGACTCTTTCTCCAATCTGTATAACAGAAAAAGTGCACAAGAAATGACTGAAAATTGCTGTATTCTCATATAGAACATAATAGGGATATAAAAATAAATGAGGACAAATTTTTTTTATGTTTATCCTGTTTGTAATGAGCAATCATTAGTTTATTTTTATGTCTTTCTTTAGAAGTAGTATCAAATTTAATATGTTATAATTGACATAATTGATATGACATCACATTAAAAACAAACTTTATTTGCTTTTTAAGTTGTTGGATTACCGTCCTCTGATAATAATAAAAAGTGGTGTAATATTTGAAAGGCTCTTTTTCTTATCCTTTTGGAATGGCAACACAGGTTTCCTTTTTGCTCTAATAGAGACAAGTCATATAAGTATTTTAGAGACACATGCAACATGTCATGTTAATAAATTTATTAATTGTTGTTTGATTCAAGTCCATGTTTTGTAACTTTTTTACCCAGACTCACATGAGTCCACAAAATATTGTTTGTAAGACAAATGTACCAGAAGGCATGAACTGATAATACTTTCCATTCCTACACAAATTACAATATAACTCAATCTCAGTTCATAATTTTTAACAAAATTATGTTTGTGCAATTTTAGTAGTCAAAATTATGAAAACAATACCCAAAATATACTGACTTTAATTTCTGAAAGATGTATTTAAAATATATTACTTAATAGGTATTATTAATGACTGCCAATTGGCAAATGTCAAAATAGGAAGATACTCCAAGCATTATTCTTTTACAGAGAAAGTTATTCCACTCTTTAGTGGATTTTGATTTTTTCCCAATACAACATTAATTTATCAAAAATATCAATAGTCATAATCAGCAGATAAAAATAAAAGAGTTCAATTTGAAATTCCATGAAGCCCTGAGATTAAAGTGTTCAAAAATTGTCATAACAACAACAGGACAAGGACAAGTCTGCATTTAAATGATAAGTTTCAATATCTGTCTATATTTCTGAGATGAGGTATTATGTACCTTATTTACATTATTTGGACTATTGTCCAAATCTTTGGCGCCATATTTATTACAATGTTTTGGCCGTTTACGCTCAGGCCTTCTTCAGGTGGTTGGAATGTTGAACTGAACCCTTTGTTTCACTCACTGGGGTAGACTGTTCTAGTTCCATGTTCCATGTTTAATGGATATCAGTTATCTCCTGTTAATTTCCCTCTGAAAGTTCTCTTAACTGGTTATTGAACTCACACTCTTTGGGTCCTGTCACTGTATCTAACCAACACCTTTAGTCACTGTGCCATGTGTCCTTGAGGACATCTGTGTATGAATTTCTGGGTATTATAAAACTAATGTCTTCAGCAATCATTTTTACCAGTGCTCACATTGCAATTTTTGCTGTTATCATTCATGTTTTTACCAGAGCTCATATTGCAACTTTCTGTTGTTATTATTGCTTTTCTCTGGCACTCCTTATTACTGGTTCCCATATTGTATTCATTTCTATGCTTGGTTTGCTCAGGAGATTTTTGTGGCCTAGCATTCATAAACTTAAGGAATAAGCACATATGCTAGGCCACAAAAATCTTAAAGGGTTCAGTTCGACATTCCAACCACCTGAAGAAGGCCGGAGCATACAACGGTCGAAACGTTGTAATAAATATGACGACAAAGATGAAGACAATAGTCCAAATAATGTAAATAATAAGTTTCAACTTAAAAAAAAAACCAAAACAATAATGATGAAAATAAGAAGATATCAATGCAATTACTTCTTTCTTCTTTAAAACTGATTTAAAAAAATACAATTTGAGAAAAAATATCACTAATTAGATGTTTTATGCAACTCTCAATTTCTCTTTCTATACTTCTCTCAACCTATGAGAAGGCAACACTCAAATAAAAAAAGGAAGAAGAAAAGACTGAACCCGGCCATAAAGGAACACTAGTGTCGGAGTTAACTCCTCCTTCACCCATTAACCCTTTCACCAGGGGTCTCTCTTCCCTGGCTATAAATAGCCGCTGACTCTTCACCTCTCTCTCTTTTTTTCCTTCAGGCCTGTGCACCAACACCTTGAGGTAAACTTTCTTATTCCTAGAGGATTTTCAGCTATCAACCTCGAAATGTAGTCGCTAACAAGGGATAGCGTGGAAACACGCTAAGCACAATATTCACACACGCACGCACATACAGAATATTCACACACGCACACACATACAGAATATTCACACACACTTCGTCCTTTGTACTGTTTCCATGTATTGTAACTTGTTATTAATATATATTTGTATATACATATATTATCGGTCTTGTTTTGTTTGCTTTCTTTGCCTTCTACTTGATTATTTCTCTTGTTGTTGTCTTTGTTACATTTGATATTGTAAAAATTGTAGAGGGTCAGTTTTTATTTCTATTTATAACCAATACAAATTGGCTGACCCACTATACTAGAAAATAAAATAATTTGTTCCAATCAGAAAAATTGACACATAGAGCCTTTTTGATATTCACACCAAATTCTTGAGCCTATTCAACAAGATATAACCTGATATAGTAGAGAGAGTAAAATGACACCAGAAGACTGAACAAAAGAACGCAGCCATGCATGAAACAGTTAAAAGGTAATCGGTTATCTTTCCTTTCTATTCAGAGCCATTAGAAAACACAGCAGATTGATATCTGACCTAATTTCTCAGATTATTACTAATCCTATCATGTTCTGGTTTCCAACTATTGAAATGGACATTTCTTCAGATTGCTATCAATATCAACCTTGTTACTGAACTTTTTGCTACACTAAATATCAAAGGACTCACTCATCACTTTAAAGAAAATAAATAAAAATTATTTATTTTTAACTCTTGAGTCAGTTCGTTTTATACCCAAAATTTACAATAAAATAATTATACTACACCTATCCACACTGGCAACATCATATGAACACATAAATTTATAAAATATCCAATGTAAAGCATTTTAAACAGTGAAAGAACTGAATAAGATGAGAGACAAAATTAATTTTGTTACATAGAAGTAAATGTTTGAAGAAAAATTGTTGTCACCCAGACCCTCCCTGGTCATCCAAAATGTCCAAAACCCACAGCTGATCGATTGCTCCAACCAGGTCTGACCTTATCCCATGTTGTGATTTGCTTTGATCATAAGGCAGTTGAGATCAAATTGTCATCAGGTAGATGAAGATGCAAAGAAGAAAATAACACTCGAATAAAAAATATAAATACTAATTTTATATAAGGTCCTTTGTTGGTTTAAAGTCTAAGTGCTTGCATGTAGACAATTATCAACCCAACCTGCTTCTAAGTCAGACGTGACACTTTTTTGACTTTGGTAAAGTTTGTTTTACTGACTTGGCAAAGTTTGGCACAAGGCTGATGTCAGCGGTTCTTGTCGGCAGATAGTCGTGTGTGGTGTCTTGTGTCCGGTGTCTGAAACAAATTCTTGGAACGATCTCATTTCTCACTTTGAGGCATTCATATTTATTGATGCTTATCCAAAACTGGTGTGGAGCGTGAGGTGGCCAGGTATCCAGCATTTTCTCTACCTGTCACAAAGAAACCTTTTCTCCATTGTCTAGTTTCTGAGAAATTAATTACTTCCCAATTTGGAATCACCCACTTTCCTTGGCTGATGGTTGTAGCCATAACTTCTTCCTCCTCTTCTTAGCATCTCCCACAAAAACTGCCGCAATATCTGTGTATAAATTTGTAAGCATATCTTTGTGTCAGTTGATTATATATGATTTACAAATATTCAAAATTTTTGTGTGGGTATTATTAATTAAACTATTTTCATATGTTATCTTAACACCAGAAAAATAATTAAATAAAAATCTACTTATTTAGTAATATATATTAACTGGCTTTATATATTTTAAAACATTAATTATTTGTAATATTCTAATGTTCAGAGAATCAAAAAATCTTACTTATTATAAAACGCAGATTGTGTGTGTGTGTGTGTGTGTGTGTGTGTGTGTGTGTCTGTAACGTTTATATATTGGATCGGATTTCCTACATTTTTCAGCCGATTTCAACAAAACTTCACAGGACTACATAAAATTACCTTGTGGTGGTTCTAACAGCGCCAAAAATGGGAAAAATATAATTGTTTTTGCACAAAATCAATTTGAAAACACGATTAAGAGACATCGTGAAAATGGAAGGGGACAACTCATCGGATTTCCTATATTTTTCAGCCGATAAAACAAAACTTCTTTTTTTTTTTTTTTTTGGCAGGTAGTGTTTCTTATTCTCTTGCACACTTTTTTCTTTATTTTTAACATTCAGAATGCTTTAAAAATTCCATTTACAAGACAATTATTTATAATAAAATTCTATTCAATCAGTAGACTCATGACGATTGAAAACAATGTTTTTGTTTGAGTTTGACCAATTCGTAAAAAATAAAAAAAATGAAAACTAATTAAGAC